GTTTTTCTTTATAAGGCTTCTTAAGACCCTTATGTTGGGCAGAAGCATTACCCCATAGAGTTTCCCTCCCCCTCTCCTCCTTCCCCACTCTTATGTAATTTCTACTATATCAATAAGAGAAGCATATTCAGTATCCCCTCTCTCTTTATGCTTCCTTTCTCTCCCGAGTAAGTTTTCTTTACTCCCCTTTCATGGAGTAGTTTTCTTATAAGGGCGTTCTCGGATGCTTTAAGCGTTATTTATTAAAAGATGCGATAATCATTTAAATGCTTAAATATTTTGTACAACTTTATTTTATGTTCATATAAGTTTATGAGGAGATGTCTAACCGGATCTGCCAGATTCAGTCATCTTATAATCTTATCATGGACGAAATTAAAGACAGAAAAGTTAAGACAGGAAAATAAACACACAAGTCCATGATAAGATTATGAGATGATTAAATCTGGCAGAGCCGGTTAGACATCTCCTCATAAGCTTATATGAACATAAAATAAAACTGTACAAAATATTTAAGCCTTTAAATGATTATCGCATCTTTTAATAAATAACGCTTAAGGCATCCGAGGACCCCTTATAAGAAAACTACTCCATGAAAGGGGAGTAAAGAAAACTTACTCGGGAGAGAAAGGAAGCAGAAAGAGAGAGGGGATACTGAATATGCTTCTCTTATTGATATAGTAGAAATTACATAAGAGTGGGGAAGGGAGAGGGGGAGGAGAGGGAGAGGGAAGCTCTATGGGGTAATGCTTCTGCCCAACATAAGGGTCTTAAGAAGCCTTATAATGAAAAACAAAAATATTAAAATAATAAATAGAAACTTTACATGTGGGACCCACTTTAAGACTTATGAGTCTCAAAAACTTAGAGGGAAGTAATGTAATACGGAGGAAATTTCCTCACTAAAGGACAAAAATGAATAGTCCTTTAGGGAGAAAGTTTCCTCTGTAGATTCTCCCTTTTACATTACTTTCCCTCAAAGTTTTTGAGACCCATAAGTCTTAAAGTGGGTCTCACATGTAAAATTACTATTCATTATTTTAATATTTTTGTTTTTCTTTATAAGACTTCTTAAGACCCTTATGCTGGGCAGAAACATTACCCCATAGAGCTTCCCTCTCCTCCTCCTCTCCTCCTTCTCCTTCCCCACTCTTATGTAATTTCTACTATATCAATAAGAGAAGCATATTCAGTATCCCCTCTCTCTTTCTGCTTACGTTCTCTCCCGAGTAAGTTTTCTTTACTCCCCTTTCATGGAGTAGTTTTCTTATAAGGGCGTCCTCGGATGCCTTAAGCGTTATTTATTAAAAGATGCGATAATCATTTAAAGGCCTAAATATTTTGTACAACTTTATTTTATGTTCATATAAGCTTATGAGGAGATGTCTAACCGGCTCTGCCAGATTTAGTCATCTCATAGTCTTATCATGGACGAAATTAAAGACAGAAAAATAAACACACAAGTCCATGATAAGATTATGAGATGACTGAATCTGGGAGAGTCGGTTAAACATCTCTTCATAAGCTTATATGAACATAAAATAAAATTGTACAAAATATTTAAGCCTTTAAATGATTATCACATCTTTTAATAAATAAAGCTTAAGGCATATGAGGACGCCTTTATAAGAAAACTACTTCATGAAAGGGGAGTAAAGAAAACTTACTCGGGAGAGAAAGGAAGCAGAAAGAGAGGGAGGATACTAAATATGCTTCTCTTATTGATATAGTAAAAATTACATAAAAATGGGGAAGGAGAAGGAGGAGAGGAGGAGGAGAGGGAGAGGGAAGCTCTATGGGGTAATGCTTCTGCCCAGCATAAGGGTCTTAAGAAATCTTATATAGAAAAACAAAAATATTAAAATAATGAATAGTAACTTTACATATGAGACCCACTTTAAGACTTATGGATCTAAAAAACTTAGAGGGAAAGTAATGTAAAAGGGAGAATCTATAGAGGAAACTCAGGGAATTTATCTAAGTCAGTTACTTCCCCTCTAAGTTTTTGAGACTCAAAAAGGACTAGCCTTTACCGATATAGAAGAATAGAAGATTTTCATCTTCCAGACAACACTTATGAGATAATTCCTCTGATATCTTAACAAGTTGGTAGGCAACTATTAAGCCAACAAGGAAGATATGTCCATATGATATTGATTATCATTGGAGTTAGATCCTTGACTAGGCATATGATTGGAGCTAGAGCTTTGATAGTTCTATATAACTCCAGATTTCAAAACAATAATTCACAAAGTGTGATAGGTATTTTAGAGGTAGATTTAAATCAACATTTTTCATTAATATACCTTACACCAGACTTTACACTCTTACTTTTATATTTTGAGACCTATAAGACTTCTTTAAAAGTAAAGGACAAAAAAGTCTATTGAAGGATGGGAACAATACATTTTCTACAATTCTTTAAAAGAATTTACCATTTAGACGATAAATACTAAACAAATAAAATTTGGAAGAAAAAGATGATCCAACAAACAAACATAACACAAATAATAAAGATAACATATAATAAGGATTAATCCAATAGAGAATCAATATAAAATCTCCCTTAATAGATTTCATCATCTATATAAAAAGATGTTCTTGTTTATTGAATTACATAAGAAAAAAGGGAATAGCCAACAATATTTTTCACTGAATGTACATAAGATATAAGGTGAGAGGGAATGATTGATCAGCTGAGGGTACGTGTCACACATTAATGATCAAGGTCCCACACCATATAAAAAGCTAAGAGCTTTAATATTCATATATATTAATTATTTTTCACAGATTTGGTAATAGTTTTTCTGGATCAATCAACAGTAGTGAATTTATTCATGATAGTAAGAGAGTAACATGTAACAGTGCATTTAATGGTGAATCGAAGATAAGGGCTACAATTATAGGCATTTAGGGACGTGAGATGTACGTGGAACCGTTGCCTGAGCGATTGGCAGGAACACTACAATTACTATATGTTGTTGGGTGGGTCCAATTCATAACACCAATACTTTATGAAAAGTCGGTGGAATTCATATGCCACTGGTGGGTTGATTGAGATTCATAATAATAATTAAAATAAAATGTTTTATCTTCATATTTACCCAAAAAATGTATAGTTCATAAAATTTGACAAGAAAAACTTTGTGGACAAAATTTTTTTTCGTGTGAAAACCAGATGAGAACTTAACAGTTAAGGAATTGTGAAGGATATACGTGTTGAATGTTGAATTCTGATAGGGATGGATGATATTATGGTGCAGCGACAGTGATTGTAAGGAGTGGAGATGGTGGTTGGGGCCTCATAGTCATGACGAATAGCATGGTTCATGCGTATTCTTTTATTTTTATTTATTTTAAATATATAACATATAACATTTAATTATAAAAAATTAAATATTAATTTATTATTTTCCATAAATTTATTAATATTTTTTCTATTAAAATACAGTTAAATAATTTATTACTATCGCTCTTTTTTATAATAAATATAATTAATAAAAAGTAATTAATATAACTTTTATTTTTATAAACGTTAAATATTAAAAAAAAAACTTTCTATCTAAAACTTTATATATTTTAAAAAATATATAAATTAACTATTTTAATTTGTATGTATATTATAATAATTAGTACCGAAAACTAATATGAACACTTGATTTAGAAATCGTAAATGAAGAATTTTCGTCGAGAATAATTGGTTGCAGAATTATGCTCTGAACAGAGACATTAAATGCAAAACTAGCATTCACTTCTCTAGTGGTGTCATAGGAAGACAATGTAAGCGTGACACATATCTGTTTTCTTCTTTCAGATCTAACTTGAGGCAAAAAAGGAATAAAAAAAACTTTGAGCCTCCGTATAAGACTATCACATTCAAAAAATATAAAAATAACTAATAATATATATTTTATTAATATTAAAGAAAGTGATTAGATTAAGATAGTAAATAAGAACCTATTCACTTATTCAAAAGAAAAGATTAAAAAGTTACTTTTTATCTTCTTCTTTTTTATAAAATTTACCGATTTAAATAAATTATTATTTTAGATAATTAAATTATTAACAAATAAATAAAAAGAATGAAAAGCAAGTCTCTTAGTTGAAAAGATGTTCATTATCTACTTATTTCAAAAATAAGAGTTATTTTTTTTATTCTCACAATTATTTGTCTATAATACAATTACATTACAAGAAAAAAAATAAAAATAAGATTTTAACTTGGTTGATTATTTATTTTTTTTTATAAATATTTCTATCTTTATCAATATCATGGTGTTACCACTAACCACCAAGTTGTTTTATTAATGAACAGTTAATGTAGTTTGTGTTCAACTTGTGAACGTGTACATTGTAACCCAAGCATTACCATTAAGTATGTATGACGACCACCAAATTATTTGGTTGATGGACAATTAATATTTGTGTTGAAATTGCCTCTCTCACCATATATTCTATCATATTGAATGAGTATATATAACCACCACCAAATTATTTGGTTGATAGGTAATTAATGTAGTTTCTGTAGAATTTGACTTTGGCATTATGTTTTATCTTAAGAATATCTATTAAGAGTTTGAAACACACGAAGACCATATACAACTCGACATATAACAGAAGACTAGCTCGTAAATTCTAACAAATGAAACGAACTTCACAGTTAAAATTGAGGTACTAAATGTGTGTTAGCCACCAACGTCCAACGGTGGTAATATAAACGACTTAACCTAAGTGGTATAAAATGCATGCCCATCATATTTCAAAGAAGAAACCAGAAAGTAAAAAATATTCCAGGAATTGATCTTGGTTCCCTCCAAGTCTAGCTTGCGTTTCGTCGGATGACACAGGTTTTAAGGTAACTTAAGTTTATAGTTTACATATAGGTTATTGTAGGTGAATCTGCGTGATAAAGTATTGTGTAAAAATGTAACACTTATTACTACGATAAATTGGTGCTTCAACTCTCCATTGCTAATTTTTAGTCCCTCAACGCTGAACAGATGAGTGAGGATCAGAAAAGAACTGCCTCCAACGATCATGATAGAGTGGCAATATCACAAGAACAACAGGCCAAGGTATTCAACTATTTTGCATTGTTTGTATATTAACAGATAGTTTTACTCTTGTTGCATAATATCAATTGAAAATGTCTTGAGTAAAGGATGTGGCCCTTGATACTTTGCTTCCTTTCAGATCACTGAGGTGAGAGGGTTGATAGGGCAGTTATCAGATAAGGAATCTGTGTACTGTTCTGATGCCTCCATTTCAAGGTATTTAAGGTCAAGAAATTGGAATGTTAAGAAGGCATCTCAAATGTTGAAACAAAGCCTGAAATGGAGAAAAGAATACAAACCGGAAGAGATCGGCTGGGTAAGTTAATTAATTACTACTTGTTTACACTTTGTTTTATCACGTCTAGATAATGCATGGATAGGGCCTGTCCTCTCTTTCTATAAAACTAGGCCAAGAATATAAGATAGTTCAAGTGAGTATTTGGTTTGCTATCCCTCTATTCCCTTGAGTCGATTACTCTCTCAAGAAAGTTAAGAAAATGCCAGGGTAAACTGCAAAGGAAGTGCTCATTGTCTGAAGATGTTGACAAGCTAGAGATATGTCACTTTACGGCTTTGTGATTTAAAATGTTGTTTGACATGGAGTTTTCCTTATGCAGGAAGAGGTTGCAAATGAAGCAGAGTCAGGGTCGATGTATAGACCAAATTATAATGACAAGTACGGGAGACCAGTGATTGTAATGAGACCTAGTCGCAAGGTTTCTTCTGAGAATCAATTTCAATCTCTATCTTGTTTAGTTTAATGAGGGGTGAAAGAAACTGTAATCGTGTTAATTTTATGACTTTACACATGACAGTGCTGAGTGCTGATCCTTTTACTCTCGGCTTTGAAACTGATGTAAAGGGTTTATGGATTATAAAAGTATAATAATTGGTTAGAAACCTATTTTTATAAACAATTTGTAAGGGTGATATTGTTTGTACTGCAGAACTCCAAATCAACACAGGGACTGATTAAGTATTTAGTATACTGCATGGAGAATGCCATTTTTAATCTTCCACCACACCAGGAACAGATGACGTGGCTGGTAGATTTCGAGGGTAAGATGTCAGATATGTCGTTCAAATTGGCACGTGAAACTGTCCATGTATTACAAAACTATTATCCAAAGCGCATGGGTTTGGTAATTCTGTACAATGCACCTATACTCTTCCAACCATTCTTCAAGGTACCTAATTGAAACCCTTTTCATTGATTTTCATTATGAAACTTGGATTAGGCCATATACATGTAAGGCTTTAAATGATGAATGTATGCAGACTTCTTTGGATAGCATTGAGTGTTTTTTCCTAACTGATCCATGGAGTTTATCTTTAACTTGTGATGTTAGCTGCTATTTAAGAGTGATCATGAATCTAGTACCATTTTGTAACGTGAAAGAGTGAACTGGTGCAGATGCTAAGGCCCTTTGTGGAGACTGAAATTTATAATAAAATAAAGTTTCGGTATTCGGACGGCCACCGCGAAAAAGAGATTATGGAGGATTTGTTTGATATGGATAAACTTGAATCTGCATTTGGTGGGAATGGTGGCACAGGATTTGACATAAATAAATATGCTGAGAGAATGAAAGAGGATGACAACAAGATTCTGTCTTTCTGGACACAGGTCAAGCCTGTGTCATAATGCAAATTCCGATGCTTAGAAATTAGAATGTGGAAATGAAATCGCATTATTCTAAATCGGCATTGGTCAACTGTAACGCAGCAAGTTGCTGTGACATTCTAGTTTAAAACCTAGATTTAAGACTCGAAGTGTCAACTTTATGTATGACTAATGAAATTTCGATGATAAATAATTATGCCTGGTGGCTTGAAACTTCTAAAATAAATAAAGAAAATTACTATTAGTACAACTCTTAACGTGAGTAAATAAATAAAATCCTTAAAACCTCTACATTTTGCAAGTTGAGCTGCAAGCACGATAACCATAATTCTTGAATGCTTTCACACACACACACACTCACTAGTGTCAAACAAATAGATGAATCTGAATCAGAATTAGAAACAACAGACCGCGATATAGTCTAGTTGGTTCCGGTTCGAACAGTTGAACCATTGGTCGGATCCGATTTTTAAAATAATAAATTAAAATAAATCTAATTTACTTAATTAATATACGGATTTGAATCGGATTGATGAAAAATTGATCTGTTTTTATAATATACTTATATTATAAGTTAATTTATCTAAATCACTTATTTTAATGATTTTAAAAAAATAATTAATAATTACAAAATTATATATTTAAATGGATTAACACACTTAACTTACCAAAAATAAAATAAAATTGGAATGAAGTCATATATTTTTAAGCCAGTGAATCGGATATTTTTTTACTTTAACACCCTGGTGTGAGAATTATTTTTTAAATATCTTCAGTTGTAAAAGTTAGAATGACAAAATTATCTACCACTTTTAAAGTATGTATAACTACAAAAATAAATAAATTGAGATGAATTGAACTTATATATTTTTAACATCACTCGTGTGAATCGGATTGCTGACTTTGACATTCCCGTTGAATATATATGTGTAAGAATTTTTTAAAAATATCTTTTCTTGTAAAAGTTAGAATTACAAAATTTTGAGGTCTGACTTTAATTTATTTTTCAACTCTTGGTTTAAATTTTTTTTCTATACCCTATTTCTTTAAATTCTGATTGTGAATTCTTGTCTCGTCATCATTTAATTGAGTTTGTGTTATCGAATAATATTATTCTTCTTTACATATTGGTATTTATTAGTCAACAGTTTCAAATTATTTTTTAAACATAAAAATGATTCAAATAACTTTTTTCTATTAATTATGTTTTTATATTTATAAAAACAAAAGTACTACATTTTGTAATAGCATACTTAAATCTTAATTTTATCTATCAACTATAATGGATGTTGTTACGTGTGTATATGATATACCTTCTCGCACTATCACATTAATGAGTATAATCACAACATACAACTACCATTACACTTACCGAGTGATGGAAACTAAAGTTGGTCCACAACTTTATATCACTATATATACGCAATTTCAACTTTAATAAATAACTTCTTGGTTGTTCATTTTGCAGTATAGACATTATTGAAGGACGAAATGTTGGATCTTCAAATGACAGTGATATTATGTAGCAGTCAGTACTTTTCTTTGACTTGACTAAGATTAATACACATTCTTAAACAATGATTGAACTTTAGAAACTGAGTTATAATAGTAAGATTTATACTTTTAATCACTGATTTAACATATAGTAAAATGTTTGCATAAAATAAGTAATCATATCAATTTTAGATATTTCTCAGTATATCATTATAAAGTCCCACGTAGGAATAGATGTTAAAAATAGTCTATCCGTTATAAAATTCAAAATAATTATAGATTTAATATTAATGATAATTTTATAATTTTTTCTTTTTTAATTTATAGAGATATATAAAAGATAAAATTATAATATATTAGAATTTAAAATAAAAATATCTTAAATATAGTGATAGATTCTAATAATATTATTATAAAAGATTTGAGATCAGGTGTTTTTTCTTTTCCTAAAAGAAACATAGGTCAAACACATTAATATTCACCGTATAACTTTAATAAAGTTTTGATCATCTTCTTTCTTAATTATCTAAATCAGAGTTATATTTTAACAGTCACTTAAAATTCATACTAAAGATGATATCAAATTATTGAAGTATTTAACAATTTTAATTAATTCAACTATTTGATGTAATCAATTAAACTTATATTTATTTTTAATTAGATTCTTATGTGTAAAAAAAATATCGTCATATGTAATGAATTTTCTTTTTCTTAAGTATCAACATTTTCACAAGTTTTGAATTCAGTATTTTTAGTTAGTTTTATTTTATTATTATAATTTTTCAGTCATTGTTTTTCACCTCAAGTTCAATCAAAACTCTGACAACTTGTGGACTTCACCCCACAACAAATATCATTTAGAATTTGTAAAAAAAAAAATGCAATTAAAAATAATGATTCAACAACATGATTAAAAATTATGAAATAATTTAGAACATAAAACAGGTTTTAACCTAGAAATTTAGGAGTATGTTGTTTTTGTTTTGGCATGCACACCGCATAATTGGGATCACATTAAAATGGGGGAGTGTGTAACTGCCGCGTAGAATGCATTAATAAATAAGCAGAGCCACAAGCAGAACAGACCCAGAATTCACACTACAAGCAGAAAACTCATAAGGTTAATTCTTTACTTCCTTTTCATTTTATGCTACATCGATCTTATGTTCAGGTGAGGTGTCCATCTTAGACCTTCCACCATTTTTATTTTCATTTTCTTAACTATTACGTTAATCTTATCTTCTCTCTTTTCATTCTTCTTCTTTGCCTCCAAACTCTGGTTATCAAGAATTTTGAGAGTGAATGTCTTGGAATTGTCGTTTTTTGTGAGTTTAACATTTCATTTCTTCATAATTAAGTTTTATATAATGTGTCTTATCCTTTGAAGGGTACACATTAAGAAAGTGTAAAATGTAAATGAGATGCGGAGATGTACAAATAATTAAAAATAATAATTTAATTTAATATCATCTCCAACCGGTAGTGAACGATGTCTTGCGTTGCCAAGGGGTATTTGTAGAAGTGAAACGTAAATAAAATGTCAAGATGCACAAGTGATGTAATATCATTCAATTTGATGCCATTTCCAGATGGTATAAACTTGTATGTATCTGTTGTGTACTCATGTTTGCTGTGGTTTTTTATTAGCTTTCTAGTTTGTCTATTACGTCTTGTTGGGTAATATTTTCTGGAATTTACTATTTTATTGTTCAGATCTCAAATTTTGTGATGATTATGTTTAACTTTTATAATCAACACTGGTGGAAAACGTGGTAGAGAAGAAAAAAGAGTTCAGAGAAAATGAACGAAAAATCTATTATATGAAACTGAGAACGTGCATGGAAATAGTATACGAGGGAAGTTAAGTTTATATGTACAACATGACATAATAGAACACTGTAAGCGCGTAACTACCCTAACAAATGATATGAACTCGCTAACAAAATTGAGATATACCGAACTTTAAGTTAACCACTAACTCTGGTAATTAACTGTTTAACATTAGTGGCTATAAAATGAATGCCACAATTCAATGAAGAAACCAAAATTAAGGATATCCCAGAATTCACCTTGGTTCCCTCAAAGTTTAGCTTGCGTTACGCGTCGGTGGATCAGAGAGATTCTGTTTGAGGTACCTTACTATATAGCTTATAGTTGTGTATGAAATTGTAGTTCTACACTGTCGTTGTTGGTTGTTGTGCTGTAATTATTCGGAGCGAAGGTGAATAACTACTACTACAAGAAATTGGTACTGACCATTGCGGTATTCAATTGTTCATTGCTAATTCTGTGTCTCTATCTGAACAGTATGAATCAGGATTTGAAAAAAGCTGCCTCTAACGGTCACGGGAAAATGGTAATTTCCAAAGAACATCAGGCAAAGGTGTGTCCGATTATTTTACACTATTTGTATCGAAGATACTTTGACTCTTGTTGTATGTGAAAATATCAATCTACAATGTTTTGAGTAAGGGATGTAGCTCACAATAATTTGCTCTTTCAGATCACTGAGGTTAGAAGGTTGATAGGGCCATCGTCAGCCAAGGAATCACTGTACTGTTCTGATGCATCCATCACAAGGTATTTAAGCTCACGAAATTGGAATGTCAACAAGGCAGCCCAAATGTTGAAGCAAAGCCTAAAATGGAGGAAAGAATACAAACCTGAAGAGATTCGCTGGGTAGGTTACTACTTGTCTTTACTTTTATAATGAATTTCAAGAGATAATGCATGGGATGGGTGGGATATGTCCTCCTTTTATAAAACTTTATTAAGATAGTTAAACTGAGATTTTGTTGTCCCTATATTCCCTTGAGTCCGTCACTCTATTAAAGGACCTGAGAGAATGCCAGAGTAAACTGCAAAAAAAGATTCAGCCATAACCAACCGTGTTGTTTTGGTATATCTAATAACATTCTAGATAAAATAGTGGTAACTGATTTTCTTATGCTGTTCTTAAGATTGATCAACTGAGTCTGGTTCATTATTGTCTCACGTGGAATGTATGAGCTAGACATGCTCTAGTCTAATTTCAAGTTTCAAGCATTGTTATATTTTCTTTTGTAAAATTATATTTGACATGGATTTTTCCTTAATGCAGGACGAGGTTGCTGATGAAGCAAGGACAGGGTTGATGTATAAACCAAATTATCATGACAAATATGGGCGATCAGTGCTTGTAATGAGACCTTGTCTCCAGGTTTCTTCTGAGATTCACTTTCAGTCTCTACCTTGTTTAATTAAATAAGGATGAGATCGTTTATACGTAAGACATGGCCCTTGGAATGACTGAAAAATGTAAGAATGAGAATAAGGGATACATTTATATATATCTATATATCTTTATACTTACACAAAGAGAAAAGATCCACTTATTTTAAGAATACGAGTTTGAAATTTACTTTTCATACTTACCATTCTTTTTTTTTAATATAATGATTAAGATGACTCAATATTTTATACCATTAGATTACAAAACGATATAGGTGAAGAGTAAGTCTTAATCTCTTACGTTGATTCTTCGTGTCTGTGTGTGTAACCAAAGAAGCCACTGATGACTGGATTTGTTTTACAGTATCTGTTATAGTTTGACCAACCACAACAAGATTTATTAACAATTTTTTTAGAGTAACGTCAAATTTCATTTGTCTTATGGATTTGAACTGCAGAACTCAAAGTCAACACAAGGACAGATTAAGCATTTTGTGTACTGCATGGAAAGCGCCATTTTAAATCTTGCACCAAATCAGGAACAGGTGGTCTGGCTGGTAGATTTCCAGGGTTTCAAGTTGTCAAATATATCGTTCAAGGTGGCTCGTGAAACTGCCCACGTGGTGCAAGAGTATTATCCAAAGCGACTGGGTTTGGCCATATTGTACAATGCACCTATGATCTTCCAACCATTTTTCTCGGTAACTAAATAAAAGGCTTTTCATTGTAATACTCGTATCTTCTGTATAGTATTTATATATACACGCTGCTTTGGTATATATGATATCTCTGCATCGACTTGGTGAAGTGTTAAATGCAGCTTGCAAGGTTAAAAATGAGTTTATGATGATCACTCTACATAACTAAGGGGAATTGCGATTTTTTCGTCCAACTGATGCATTTTTTTAGCTGGAGATCGGTAGAATTTTTTTAATTTTTTATTTTTGTGTTTGTGTGTATTTATATTGTTGAATCCTGATGTTAGCCGCTATTGAAGAGTGATTGTGCGTGTATATATTGTTGATTTTTAGTTTGTGAGACTATAAATTGTGATGTTAGCTGCTATTTAAGAGTGATTGAGTTGAGAGTCTTTTGAAGTTACTGATAAATGTAATAGATGATAGATGATGGGACTATATATCAGATTTTATTTCATATTATTTTTTTGGAAATAAATGTTCCGAACTGATGGTAAGTCTGCTTGATTAAGTGGGATTTAGTATAGTCCTCCTATTTCCTTTGTATTTTTCTATTATTTTTATGTTATATGGTATGCTGCAGCTGATTATAATATTATAGCTTGTAGTGCCAACCTAGTTGGAATTGCATGTTATATGGTGTTTTTGCATACGTTGTTGTGATTAGAAAAAAATAAAAAAGAGTGATTATGAATCTAGTATCATTTTGTAATGTGAAAGTGAATTGCTGCAGATGGTGAAACCCTTTTTAGAGATTGAGACTTATAACAAAATAAAGTTTGGCTATTCGAACGACCACAGTACAAAGAAGATTATGGAGGATTTGTTTGATAAGGATATTCTTGAATCTGCATTTGGTGGGAATGGAGAAACAGGAATTGACATCAACAAATATGCGGAGAGAATGAAAGAGGATGACAATAAGAAATTTTCATTTTGGACACAGGCCAAGTCTATATCATCAGTTGCACACAATGCTCCATTAGATTCACTCAGGTTAGATGCACATTCTGATGCATCTAACAACGGGAAAATTCTTGTTCCTAACTGATCAATACATCTTGGTGTCTTGAAAATGCCGTGTCATTAGAATGAGAAATTATATACCTAAATCAGTGTTGAGTCAATTGTAATGCAGCAAGATATTATGACATTATAGTTTGATCCTAAATTCAAGAGATCTAGTCTCAACTTCATGTATGATTAATGATGACAAATAATTTTGCCTTGTGGCTAGAAGCTTCTGAGCTTTGAAACAGGCAAGAAATTCATATCAGCTTCTCATGTGATTGACCATATTTTCCCTCATAAGCAGGGACAAATTTAAGTATTTTTAGTAAACTAAAAATGAATAAATAAAAACCTAGTATTACAACCTGTAGTGTGAACTTAAGTTATCTTATCTTCATTGTATGTGAAAGGAGGGAGAAAATAAGAAATACAAAATAGTCAAGGATAAGTAGGAAGTTAAAAAAAATCAGAATATCTAGTGAAATTCAAAATAGTACAGAACTGAATTACAATTAAATAAAGGACCTGAACTGCAAGTGTAACAGCGTTTAGTTTAATGAAAACAGTCACTCGCTCACCTTATGAGATAAATATACATAAAAAATGGGAGTTCATCTCTACATATATTGATTCAACACTGTACTAACACAGTGAAAATAGCCTTGCTTTAGGACAATTGCAAATATTGTTAACCTAACAGTGCCACTGAAAACATCTCCCCCCTTTGTGATTCAACCGTGACATTTTTTATATACTGTGAATGTACTTCCTTTTCCTGAAACAAGTGAGAGATAATGGAATGTAGCATATTAAGATTAAGATAGTATCATAAGAAGAAGAAGAAGAAGAAGAAGAAAAGAATTAATGAGTGCTTACCTAAACATTGTATCATTGGAACATGTCATCCAACTTCTGCTTGTAAAGAGCCAGACGCTGTGAACAAGTAAAGTTTGTCATTGTCTTGCCAAATTAGTTAAAAAGAAGATTTAAAGAACCGAAATTTCTACATAATAACAAACATCGATCCAAGTAGCAGATGATGAATGACTAATAATAGATCAGAGTTGCGAGAAACTGTCAACTTCATCTGTATACATTACTTTTCGTGCTCACTACCAGTCAGAAATATGAGGAAAGAATGCCACTTTCTGACATCAAGAGCAGCCTACAACTAAAAATAATTGAATTTGTTATCAGAAATTATTACTGCTTCATTTCAGTTACTACCCGTGTTGCCCATGCTAATCAATCAGACTAGTCGAAGCCAAAGGAAAGATTTAATCAAGAAATCAGCCAGTCAAGGTGCAACAGTTTTCTATCTGATTTGGAGTTTGGATTTATCATTTCTGAATGGAATTTGTACAAAGAAAAATGTGAAGCTTACAGTTTCTTGCAGAGGGGAGTAACAGTATAGCAGTGAAGCTTTCATAGTTTAACAATAAGAACACATATCACTAACAATCATAAGAGGTAATAACATAGCATATAGAGAGACGACAAATAATCACAAGCAAAACCATTTTGATTTTCTATTCATTCTATTAGTAGATGACTACAAGTGTCATTGCAGCCTTCCAGATAAACAATATCTACCCTTAAAACTTTTATATATCATAAAAAAAAAAAAAAAAAAAAATATATATATATATATATATATATATATCTCTTAAAGTAGGATATCAAAGTTGATATAAACAACATACCCTTGTATAGGCATAAACTCCAGCTTCAGAAGGCCCTATGGGACTCCCCCTCCTAATGAATCTTCCCTCTTTGAAAATGTAAAGCATGGGAATTCCAGTTGACAGTTCCAAACTAATGACCTGGTGGAAAAAAAAAAATGAGTATGTACAGTCATACGCAAACTTAAGAGCCACAATTATTCTAAATACTCCACTTACCTCTTGGGAAGTTAATTTATCAAGGTACATGATAATGGATCTCAATGAATTCCCATGGGCTGAAATCATAACATTCTTTCCAGCTAAAAGTTGTGGTTCAATCTGCAGAATTTATGTCAATGGGATCAGCCCCTTATCAATGTTATATGCTGAATTCAACCATACCAGAAATTTGGCCATACATACAGCATAAATCAAACTACATAAATACTTCCTCTCCATCGTATATTGGCCAGAAGCTACATTAGTCCATAAACATCAAACATATAACAAATATGTAACTTAACTAAAGCAGAGGTACTGAGTTGAGACGAACATCTAGTTTAAAGGTTCACCACATTCTCTGGAAAACTTAAACATCAAATTTGACACAGGCAAATGAGGAGAAGAAGGAGGATGTAATTTACAAATCAGATTCTTCTCCAAAATTATACAAAAATATATTTCCACTTACTTCGTCTCTAAAATAGGCAACTGCTCTTTGAGCACACATTTCCAAACTTTCACCATTTGGAGGAGGTATGTCATAACTTCGCCGCCATTCATGGACTTGTTCTTTCCCATATCTGTCTGCTGTTTCTTGCTTATTAAGACCCTGCAGTTCCCCATACCTGAAAGGATAACAATTATGATATGCCAATATTATGTTGATGTTATTTGTGACATTGTAAAGAAGAAATTTAAAACAGAGGAAACAGGAAAAAGATTATTACATTCTTTCATTTAGTTGCCAAGCTGCTATGACTGGAATGGACTGTTTTGTTGTATCTTCACTAAAAACTTGACTCCATGACCTTGCTCGTTCACTCTCATTGTGCAAAATGATAGGGACCTGCTGGAAAGTTGATGGTTAATATTTAGGAAATAACATTTGAATACTTTACTGCAGCAGATAAAAACATTTCTTTAAATGGTCTACACTAGAGTTTAGAGCACTGTTATGTCCATAATTAGCACCGTGCATGCAAAGCCCATCACTTTTTCTACTAATCAATTTTGTGGAATGTGTTGTCAGTCTAAATAAATCAAAACTCCTGTATTTTCAGTTAAGCACTAGTGATTTGGATCATGGAATGCTTACTAATATGCCCTATGCTTTGAAAATAAAAAATAGTTACATATTCATTCATGTTACCTTCCCATGACGGTGCTGGGTCATAGCAAGCATGGCTGTCATTTGTGCACGAATCAAAGCCGATGTAAATATGACATCAACAGGAATGCTGCTAATTCTTTTTCCAGCTTCAATTGCTTCATCTATACCCTTCTTGCTTAGAGGGACATCAACACATCCTGTGAATAAGTTCTTCTCATTCCATAATGATTCACCATGCCGAATAAGGATTAAAGCTGCTTCATCTGAAGTCCAACATATTGAACAGATATTAGACAACATACAACTAACAACATGAACTTCTTGAATGTTGCAAACACCTCTAACATGGTGAATCCAACTTTAAGAAGCAATGAACACTGACATTTAGCAAAGAAAGCCGTCCAGCAATAAATATGACTAACGGAAATTTTATCTTACTTGATTTCTTGTAATTGTCACCAGCATTGCTTCTTGAAGGGGACAACACCGGATCAACTACTGATGTTTGAAAAGCTAGCGATTGAATTACAGCACAATTCCTCTGGACAGAGCTACTACTTCTCCTTGACAAGCCATTACCACTGATAAAATCCCTAGTCACCAATCTTACTAAATTGCTTTTATGTTTTTGGTGATGATTAAAATTATCCAGATAAGAATGGGACTGCAAAGTGCCAATAGCCTGGTAATATACTTCAGCAGCCATTCTCTGAAAATTGAAAACAAAACACCTGAGTAAGACAGGACCACTTTAGAGCTGAAAATTCAGGATCAGAGGGCGAAAGTGGGGGACCGCTGTGGTGCACAAGAGATGCAGCTAACATGTAGATTAATTTAGTTCTATAATGTACCCTCCCTTATTTGAATCAAGGAAACAGCAAAAACATACTTGCTTAGAAGAATGTTCACAACCAGAAAGAAAAAAAAAAAAAAAGAATCTACCTTACATCACTATCTAAATCATCATAGGGGAATTTTAAAAATGATTTCAAATAAAGAGATAGCAGATCTATAAACGGAATATAGCCAGACAACAAGAGAAATCCCATATATGTAAATAGGAAAAGAAAAAAACAAATTTTATTTTATTTGCATCAAATATCAAGTCGAAAATCACGAAACAAATGGTATCAGCGTACCCGGGACACAAGTAATCAAAGAAAGGAGCGAGAGGAAGAAGCAACAAAAATGTGAAATAGAATATCATAACATTGATTACCTGGTTTATATAGGTGCAGTGAGGAAAACGAGGTGGAGGGATAGGAAGAGTGAGTTAAGTATTTGGAGAGAATGTAATGAGGAAGAAGAAGGAGATGGAGAAGCAAAGGTAATGTGTTGAGTTTGAAGGGACGTGAATTTTGGAGAGGGAAAGGTAGTTGTAATTGTCACAAGTCTCAACTGGCACGACAATTGACTAGGAACAGAAATAGAAGAAAGTGGTGGTAGGTTTAGATGTGTCCAAAAACTGGCATAGGTTGTTGGACAAAAAAGACTGCTACTTCCCTGCAAACTAAACTATTTTTTTTTTTGTGTATTCATTCTTGTTTTTCTCTGTCCTTCCATTTTTCCAAAGATTACTACAAATAAGAAGTTCGATGATATTGAAAAACAATTTTAAAAGATAATCAATATTCTCATATTTCACTTTGTTGTGAGCACTTTACTTTACAGATAAAGTACTCTAAATTTATTTAATTACTAACAGTTAAATTATTAGATTTGTTCTAAAATGCAGTCTCAGAATCCTAGCGTGAGTTTCAAAAGTGAAGAATTTTATGAGAAAAATTCTCACTCTCTCAAGAGCGAGTTTGGATTTTAAAAATAATAGGAATGCGAGATGAGAATCTAATATTAGTGACTATATTTTTTAGACATCTTATGTATTTTTTTTAGTATTTAATGTAATTTGACATTTAAAACTTTATATATAATTTTACCTTAATTTACTCGTGCGTGCAGAAATCATTGTATTGAGTTTTTATTATGTATTTTTTTTAGTATTTAATGTAATTTGACATTTAAAACTTTATATATAATTTTACCTTAATTTACTCGTACGGAAATAATTGTATTGAGTTTTTATTAGGTAAAAAAATTATTTCAAATTCGCATATTTATTATAAAAATTATTTATTTTGATACTTAAATAAAAAATTAGTGGCTTAAAATATTTTTTTAGTAAAAAAATTCTATATAAAATAATAAGTACTTAAATTTATTTGATAATTATTTTATTAATTAATTAAAAAAATCAGAATGAATGAAATTTTTAAAATTTAGTAAAAAAAAAGTTAATAGAATAAAATTATTAATAAATTATTTAAAAGTATATGACATTATAGATATTTATTTTAAACAATTTATATGAGTTATTCTAGATAGTCTAAACAAATATATATATATATATATATATATATATATATATATATATATATATATATATATATATATATAATTAAAATAGCTTTTAAGAATGTTGATGAATTATTTTATATTTAGCATGTTCCCGCAGCAAAATTTTGCATACACAAACTTGTTTTGGTCTAATGTAAGTAATGCATATATGATTAATTATTTTTATGCTAGAATTAATTAAGTTAAATCAAATATCTTTTTAACTATAATTTTAATGATGACTTCAAAATTAAATTTAAAATAGTAAATATTCTATGCAACATGCTTTTTAGGAATATATGTTAATTTATAAAATGTTTCGGGAGAGTCATATTTAAAATTACAGAAGAAATTCGTATTACTTGGGCTCAATATATTGAAAGGAATTGATTTAAAAATAAAGTACAAAAATGTAAAAAATAAAATCAATACAGGTAATAATTTTTAGAAAAGTGCTAAATAACAATTTTTACGAAGATTTATTATATCAGAGGTATAAATTCATTTTTTTTACAATAGCATTTTATTGAATATTTTTAATTAGGGAAAAAAATATATACGAAATATATTTCATTTCAAATTAATTAATATTTTAATAAATAATTAATCCTACCTTTTTTCTAGTGCAGTATTTGTTTTACATATCAACAAAAGTTAAAGAAATTATATAGGAAATACATACAAATTTTAGGTAAAAATCGTAATAAAATAAGGGAAGACGATGTAATTTTTGAATTCTTGTATGGTTAATTAAAAAAATTATTTTAAATATTAGATTCTAACCCACAACTTTTAAGATGATTAAATGGAAAAAAAATGATAAATCAGATTTTAAACAACAACTTTGAGATGATTCAAAAGAAATTTACTTTAGAAGAAAATTATAAGTTATTTGAAAAATAATTTAAAAATAAATGATAAAATGACATAAATTTTAATCTCTTTATATAAGAACCAAAATTAATAAAAACTTAAAAATAATAATTAATAATCTAAAAAATAGTATATTATTCAAATAATAAATAATTAATAAAATAATATATAACAAGATAATTAAAATAATAAAATGATTTAAATAAATTTAGATAAGGTAAATTCATAAATAATTCTTATAAAATATAAATTAAACGAAAATACAATTTAAAAAATCTTATTTACTTTAGAAAATACATTTGTTTATTCTTACGCTATAATTGAATTATAACATAAAACAAATTTAGAAAGTGCGCGTTATGATTAAGTCATGTGTTATTTGTTGTCATTACTAATGTATCAAATTGTTATTTGTTAATTAACCGTAAGAATATAAAATTCACATAACCATCACCACGTGCGTATCTGCAAATTGCAATTCACTTTTTTCTTTTTTCTTTTTCCTTTATTCTTTCTCGTGGTTGAGTCTGCAAAACACTTAAATTTCTGAAAGTATTAAAATAAAATTAATTTATCTTTCCCTTTATCTTGTTGGTAGAAAACTTTATTCATGACATACTTGGTATAATTTAGTCGTAAATTTAATTATTATTATTTTTTTCTGAACTTAATCATTTAATGTTATTCTTTATTTGAATTTTCTATTTATTATGTACTTTCAAATTCTTAAAAACTTGTTGAATTTAAGTAATAAAATAATAATAATAATAAGAGTGAGTTGGAAAAGGAGGAGAAATTAAAGAGGGGAAAATAGGCAGCATCCCCACCTACCCTTTGGTAAGAGTGTTTGGTTTGAATGGAACGATGAAATCAAAGGTTTTGACATTGAAATATTGAAAGGTAGCATAAATTAATAAACCACGATCCAATCGATCACGTGTTGCATCACACACACAGTCAACAACTACTACATTCTCTGGTGGCTGCAATGGAATATGCCCTCGCATTCTGCGCCTAATCAAAAAAATTATTTTGTCTTTTACAAAATAAATTTATTCGTTTAATAAAATACAGTAATACAATATTTTACTGATTTTTAGATTATATTTCCTCTATTTTCATCTCACTAAATACATCACATCAATTCTATTTAATTATTTTCAGTTATTTTATTTCATAATTCACCCAAATGCACTTTCCTTCACATAAATTTCCTTCATTTAATTATTTTCAGTTATTTTCGGTCATTTTCGCAGTGGTACTATAATCATGCACAACATAGTTCTGTTTTGGAGTCTGGGCCGGCCTAACCATAAGGCCTATGAATTTGACTTTGGGCCTTATTAATTATTAAGTTCTATTTAGTATGTTTTGCTAACTTTTCAGAATGTTTGGTTAAGTTAGACTTCATATTCTTAAATATGGTCTTATATTTGAACTTTATGAATAGAAAAAAAAAACATAATTATAAAGATCTAAGCAAAAAATAAATAAAAAATATATGTAAAAAGATTTCTAAATAAAAGAACTAAAATTGCCAAAAGAAAAGAACAAAATAATAGATTAGAAATGTTTCCCTATTATTTTTTTCGTTCCATTTGAGTAACCAGGATTCTTTTGCCACAGAAACTACATACTTTCCTATTTTGACCCTTCGATCCAGATGCCAGATCCTTCAACATTTTATAGGCCAGGCTTCTGATGAATACTCAATGGTATTTAGCATATTCTTATTTCTTGGATAACTAGTGTGCTCAACATTTAATTGTATTTCTTGCACCTATTTCATGGTGGGAATGGCTTCATGAACAAAAATTAAGAACTTGTACCTCAATACTATTAATCTAAAAATCTGACCATGTAATCTAAATTTAGTCCAATTACACAGGTACACAATGCATTACAAATGCATATTGGTGGTATATTTTTTAAAATATCAAATTCAGAGAGTCTTTCTTTGACATCACCGCATAAATCAATTTGCTTTGTCCCTCCAAAGGATCAACTGAGTGAACTCAATATTCATTGATCTGATCAACCATCCCTAGACCATCATGTTGTATCACTACCGAAAGGGGGTAATTCAATCTTTCCCTTGAAGCTCAACATACAAATCCCAACTAGATTTTTTATGTTAGAAGACTCATCTCGATGCATCTGAATCAACCACGGTTACATGATTCAGAGAGGGTGAAACTAAACTAGTGCATTAAAGTTCTCATTCGGGTGAATTTAGAGAATTGGAAATATCCTAAGCACCCAACAGTCTGCACATACATATTGACCAGTGCTCATTATGCGAAAATTAAGAGATTCAAGCTGCAGAACCCTCTGCTAAGAGAACCCATACCATACAAGAATGATGATGTTAAATGAAAAATTGAATGTATTATTTGTTGAACTCTTGTACAAAGTTAAGCTACCTGAGAAATCAAAGAGAATAATTAAACCAACAGCTGTTTCTATGAAATTTTGTTGACAACCACGTCATCGATTAGTTCAGCTAATTTTGATACCAATTTATTCGTGAAAGGAAACAATTGAAGGAGACTTGATATGATTTCTACCAATTTTCAAAAGAAAACAAGTAGACCAACCCAAGCATAATTAAAATAGATGCCTTTCGAAATCAGCCCACTCCTCCACCACACACTTGTACTGTGCCATCGACGTGTTAGCTCGCCAAAACCCAATAATTGTTAGGACGAAAACACAGGAACTTTTACCAGCCACCAAAGGGCATAACATAAAGCTTAACCATCAAAACCTATAAGTAAATAATTTATTTGACAATCAAGTCCTGGTATTGGTATAATGTTAACGAAAAGCATTTTTTACGAAAAACGAAACACCTATTCAGTGAATGCAGATATAAAAGAATAGTTTATTATAGCGACAGAAAATAGACTACATCCTGAAAGTCCAAGACAGGCTTTAGTAATTAAGTAGGGTCCACCAACATATATATGTAACATAATATGAAAATGTCGAGATAACACTCCACATTAAGATTGAATTAAATAGACATTAGGAATCCCAAATCGAAAATGGATAGTGATAATATACTGAGATTAATAGATTAATTAGTTCTCATTGTCGAACTCCTGGTATTGCTTGAGGACCTCAGCACAACCTGCAGCAACCTCCTGAGACATGAATCCCATGGCATTGGCGAACCTATCGTCGGAGGCAATGCCATTGTAGCGGGTGAGAATAACAAGGGCTTCATCACGGCCAGGGGTTACTACCCGGCATTTAGGGTGAGGACTGCTTACAAGCTTAGCACTGCAGATCTCATCTGCATGATCCTCATCCACGTACATTGTGTATGCTCCAGTTGAATCAGTCTTCCCCTTCTTTGTGTACACAACCTCGTTGCTTACCCTGCTCTTGCATTGCAACAAAACCTCCGCACCTGCCCACAATCATCAATCAAACAAAACATCTTACAATCTTCCAACAACTACTAACTGCAAGTTTGGATTCTCATTGGATCATTCGATGATACCTTAAATACGTAATTTTAGGTAAATGCTCACATGTGTGATTCCATATTAGATTATTGACTCTAGATCTATCATTGATTTTTAAGTGAAATAATCGTTGATGACTTAAGCTTTTGTAATGGATGAAAAACTTATATTATACTATTAACTTGATTTTCGACCACCAAACGTAAAACCCTTGAGTTCAAAATCATTTTTAACTAAACTCTAAGTTGCAAAATTAAGTTTTGAATAGATCCCCCCAAACACACCACAATTAACAACAAAGGGATAGCCTAGTAACACGTATCAACTCTCATCGCGTGCAAAAATTTAACATGACAACAGTACACACCACTAACTAAAAAGGATTTTAGCGGAAAGAAACTCTAGGTCTTCGTGAATAGATCATGTAAAGTACTCTGTTGCAAGTTTACAAGGATTCATATTGACAGATCTGATACCCCCAGTCGTGAAATTTGAAATGAAACTGCCTCATTTCCTAAACTAAACGTTCTTAAGAATAGAAGGGCGAAAATGAAGCAAGAACACAAAAGCACATGAATGAAAACCTCAAAGACTACATACAGATTAACTTCAGGAAACAGATCTGAGATTTTATGTTATATAACACAAATACTAGCGTTTAAACAAAGTAACAGAAGGGTTAGAAGTTACCAGCAATGTAGGTGGTGGCAGAGGTCTCAAAACCAGCACGGCAAGGGTCACAGTAGACGCGACCCTTCACGCAAAAAGGGCTCTTGGCTGGGCGAATGGCCACAACCATCGCCGGAAGAACACACATAGCCAACAATAAAACTACTCTGGAGGCCATAATGCTCGTGAGAGATAGAAGAAGAAGAAGAAGAAGAAGGAGAGGGTTTGGTTAAGAATGAGTAAGCACAAAGCAACGGGGATTGAGGATTTCAATAAAAGGGGTGGTGGAGTGTGGTGAGGTTGGAGAAACGGGCATAAAGAGAACAAAAGCAAAGCGCGTGGTAAATGTTCAGCTGCGTGGGAGTGCACTGCAGAGAAAGGTGGTCACGCAACGAAAACGTGCCACGTCACTACAAAAAAAAATTCTCTGGTCTGATGGAGTTACGTGGAAGGGTGTAAAGAGAACGGAGCGCATAGGAGAGGAAGTGAAGCGGTTTGAATGAATTGTGTCATAATGTTTGCAGCTGGCGCTGTCGGTGATGCATGTGATGTTAGAATGGTAGTGAACACAAGCTGTTCCGCCATCCCCATGAAAGTGTATCTAATAACCCCGCGTCACGCGCCGAAAATTTTGCCTTCTCGTTAATTTGCACTTTTGGGACACTCAATTGCTTATCCTTCAAGAAATTTTATCCTCTGCGTCCAAACTTCTCTATAGCCACCACGTTCCGAGATCTTGATCGTTGATTAACTATTGCCATTGATAAAGTGTATAATCAGTGGTTACAGTTTCTGCTAATACATGTTCGTTCTTCGATCAAAAGTCAATGGAGGTAAATTATGGCACTTGCCAAGTTTTATCTGTTTAAAAAAATAGAATCTTTATTTTTATGGAGACTTTATTCACCTTCGTCGCTCAATATTCTTTTTTTTTTTTTACTTACAAATGTATTTTTTTTTTGTTTCTAGATAATCAGGAATCATATTTGTGACTCCTATGATTTATACATTATTTTACTCTACTCTACAAACTCCTTGAGGTTGAGTATCATCGTTTATTCAACCGTTAATCTCATTGTCTGTGCATTTATTTAAATAAATAAAGAAAAAAAAATCAAAACGTATTCTTAACTTAACACTCGTATTTTAAGTTAAGTGTTTAACATTAATTCGTAATTAGTAACCATGAGTCAGATTAATAGTCGTAAGCACCAGTTACATCAAAGACTAAGAGAGAAATGCAATTATGGAATTCACTCCTCATTGATTCACCTCCAATCAACTAATTAATTTAGTAATATTTTCTTCTATATGCATATAAATTCATTCATCGTAAAAACAGAAAAAGAAAGAGACAAATCCTACCCAAGAGAATATATTATGCAATTTTAAGAGGAATAAACACTGAACCTTTCTTAAAAAAATATTTCTTGAAACATGTTTGAAATGTTAAAAACTAGATAAGATATATTGTGGAACATTTCTTTCAAAACTATTGATATTGAAAATTAAATATTTCATATTAAATAACTTAATTATGAAAAAATAAGTTTAATTATTCTTCCATTTAATTCTCATGCAATAATTTGTTTTTTATTTTAAATTTAAATATTTTCTTAAAAAATAGTTATTAGTGATAATTAGTTACTTATAAAAAGGTGATAACCATTATAAAATTATTACAATAATTTATGTTTCGGAAAAACGATGACAGCGTAACTTTTTTCAATTACCAAAAGTAAGTTATTGATGACAATGATTTGTCTCAGAAATCTCTTGAGAATTTTCTGTCAGAGTTGTTTACAAAAATTACATATTAATAAAAACATTATTTAAATATATATTTACAAGATACTTAAAATTAAAATAATGTTTTTTTTTTAACTTTAAACAATTCATATTTACGATACTCGTATTTTATTGATAAATAATTCTGGTAAAAAACCGAGTTAATATATTGTAAAAAGTATATATTAATGGCCTTTGTTCATGTGTCCATAAAAATAATCATTTAAATTTAACCAATCTCATAAATCATAAAAAGTTATGCAACTTTCATTTTATTTTATTGGAAGTTGATACGTAAAAGCAAGAGAACACTATTAACATTAAAAAAAAATCATAAATATTTGATTGATTTAAATAATACTTTTATTTTAATGATTCAAATTTATAAGATAATAAATACAAATATTTAACAATAATTTAAAACGATAATATTTAATTAATTATTTTAATAATAGAAATATCGCATGTGTGCATATTGAGTATTTTTTTCAAATAATTGTTAATTTATTTTTACAAATAATATATAGAAAAAATATTTATCATCAAATAAAAGATAATTAATATATATATATATATATATATATATATATATATTATAAATAAAATATGGATTTCAAATTATAATTCAGGTAATTTCTAAACTACAGTATTTATTATATGAATCTTAAAATATGAAATCATTATGAATTCAGCATAAATCAAATTATATATATATATATATATATATATATATATATATATATAGAGAGAGAGAGAGAGAGAGAGAGAGAGAGATAAATATAGAAAAAAATTATATAAAAAAACACAATAATTATGATATCAAAATTTATTAAAGCATTAAATATAATTTTAAAATTTCATTTTAAATTCATCTAAATAAATTATATTAAATAAAAAATCAATCAATAATATAATATATCACTTAATTATAATTTTGTTTAATTCAAACAACTTACACATTAATTTTATTCATCTTCAATCTTTAAATATATAAAATTTATCATATAAAAAAATGTTTTCTCTGTTAATATCTATTATGATTTATAATTTATTATTTGAAATATTTTGATAAAGACTTATGAATAAAGTTAATCTATTATCAATAAATAATTTAATTTTATTTATACATTTTTTTTATTTTTACTATTTTCTTTTTATTTGATATTAATTTAAATTTTGGATTGTTTTTAGATAGATCTTTTTTCTTTTAATTTTTAGTATTCAACAAAATTCAGTTTAATAAATATTGAGTTGACTGATATTCCAATTTTATTTATTATTATAATTTTTTTAATAATAATTTAAACTTAAAAAAGTTTTTATTATAATTCAATACTAAGGTGAATCAACAATGAAGGAAATCAATGATGTGTGAGTATGAAAATATAGTGTTACGCAAAAGACAAAGATAAAAACTATAGTAAAAGACCAAGGTATGTTTTTAATATAAAATTATTTGTTATTCGATTAATAATTTTTTTATTTAAGTTTGTAATGAATCGTTTAAATACGTGGATTATTTTTATTTTGAAAAAAACACAAATATTTTTAAATTTTAAAGGATTTTGATACAAATCAACTAAAATAATGATTTTTAGTATATAATTTGAATTTTTAATATATGTTATAACATTTAAAGTTAATTACAAAAATAATAAAATATAAAATAAATGTGTGTAAACAATAAAAATAAATTGTTAAAAAATAAATGTGTGAGGAGAAAAATAAATTACAAAAAGATAAATTTAACTCGTTACTAAAGATAAATGAAAATTGGTAATAAAAAAAATGTGATCCAAATTGTAAAAAGTTCCATTAAAAATATTTATTCCGTGTTGATAACGTTTTTTAGAATACAATTCTTTGTACAATTTGAAAATCACCTCTTTTACATTTATTTCACCATATTTTAATTTTTCTTGTGTAACCGATAAGATACTTAAAAATAAAATAAAAATAAGATGAAGTAAAATAAAATACAAGAAATAAAAATAACATCAACAAACAATTACTTCGGTATATATGTTTTCCTAGTGGCGCATCTTCATAGTAGTTAAGGGGTCATGACGCTTTAAAGTATTGTAACTTATTTGTATATTTATGATTTTGGTCCCCTAGTATTAAATATATTATAAAGAAAAAGATTGAATAAATAAATTAAATAAGAAAGATTAAAAATAATTTTATTATTTGATTTTTCCATCTTCTCTCACTTTTTTATACTTTCATTAATGGTAATATTTTATTAGTATTTAATTATTTCTCTAATTTCAAATGAATATATTAAATAAGAAAGATTAAAAGTAGTTCTTCATCTTCTCTCACCTTTTTATATTCTCTCACTAACGGTAATATTGATGGATTAGTATTAAATTGTTTTTATAGTTTTTACTTTCAAATTCATTGTTTGTCTTTTTTCCTCCCTCCTGAAATTCTATCCTTGAAATTATATTGATTGACAAGTGTACTTTTTCTTCATCTTTTCACACTACTTATTCTATTATTATTTGTTATTTTGATTTTTGTTGAGAAACATTTGTTGTTTGAGAAAAATATTTTTGTTTTTTATAAATTTTTATGATTCTATAATTATAAAAATAATAATAGATTCATTTTTTCCTAGATATGAAACATAAAAGAATAGATTCATTTTTTAAAAGTGATAAAAGATATACTCGGTAGAGATAAAAACCAAACAAATTCAACATCTTCTCCTGTTTCAAAGCATGATATTGATGATCGAATTATTCAATTAGAAGAACCCTTTTATAAGATTCATAGAATTAAAACCAATGAATTTAATATTAATTCTTTGGAACATGACCCAGGAAAACGTCTCCAGATACATGAATATCCTATGAATAAAAAAGATAAAATTAAAAGAGCTTATTTAAATTGGGGTCCATATCAAATACAACTTAAAAACTATCCTTTTTCTAAAGAGAAACATCCTAGGAGATTTCAATATGGTTGGTTTAAAATGTTTCCTTCTTGGCTAGAGTATTTTCCAACTAGTGATAAAGCTTATTGTTTGTCATGTTATCTATTTAGTACACTGTCAAATAGTTGTCCTGAGGCAGATCTGTTTATTAGACAAGGATTTAGATCATGGAAAAATGTTAATTCAGTAAAAAATTATGCGTTTCTTAATCACATTGGGGATAGTCTTTGTTCACCATATAACAATGCAATGAAAGCATGTAATATTATTGAATCAATCCAAGCACATTGACAATATTATAAATGTGCAAAATTTAGAAGAAGTTTGCAAAAATCATTTACGACTTAAAACGTCTATTGATACAATTCATTAGCTAGCATTTCAAGCTTGTGCATTTAGAAGTCATGATGAAACTTCAAGTTCAAGTAATAGAGGTAACTTTCTTGAGA